AAATCAAACGCTTTCCTGGAAAAACCATGTATCCAACATCTCCCGCCATACCATTTCCACCTTAAAACGCCTAAACTATTCCGTCACTTTTTCCCCACTTTGACTATTGCTGCACGGTATATGGGGGCGTCTCTGTTGATCTCGAGACGAAACTAAAACGCTTGATAAATTGCTTTGTACGATTCATCTTCGGGATCCCAAGGGACGCCTCTGTAGAGTTTTTATGTAGAGTTGAAGTGGTTTTCTCTTTCCTATCGTCGTAAGTATTTCCTGGCATCCTTCCTCTTTCAAGTCATCCAATCCCACTGACCTTCATACATCTCTGAGCTCCTCCAATTCAAATCCTGCAATACTTTTTCCAGGCCTTGACTTATACATAAGGGCCCACCAAACCACTGCTTTCGACAGAGTTCCATAAGGATAAGGATCAGATAATGAACGATCTGTCGAAAGCAGCGGTTTGGTGGGCCCTTATGTATAAATCAAGATAAATAAATCCTGTGTGCTTCTTTGACTCCTGAATCCATACTGCTCCTCTCCAATCTTGGATTCTACGGTGCTTCGGACCCTTGCCTCTAAGATTTTTGAGTATATTTTACTGGGAACACTAAGGAGCGAAATACCTTGATGATTGTTGCAGTCCGTGTTGTCTCCCTTCTTGGCACTATGACTGCGACTTCCCAGTCCTTCGGGATCTTCTGTTTCCAGACCAGGTTTACAAGATGGAGAAAAATTTCCTGGCCTGTACTTCCCATAAACCTCATCTGCAATTCTTCTTCATCAATGTAATCGTCCTCTTCTGAGGAATCCACCTCTACAACCTGGATCTCGTTTAGGTTCCAATCTGTTCCTTCCAGCAGCTCTTTAAAATACTCTCTCCACCTCTCCATTATCTCATCATCCTGCCAGACAATGTTTCCCTCTCTGCTCCTAATTCCTTTCAATGTGGTGGGTCTCTCCTTGCGCATTTCTTTGATTGCTTTGAAGAATAGTTTTTGATTTTCTTTTGCGTTTTCTTCAAGTTTGTGCCCCAAACCTGCCCACGATTTCCTTTTGGCTAGAAATACTTTACTTTTTGTTTCCTTTCTCTTTTCTTTGTACTTTTGGTGAGCAATGGGTGTTCTTTGGCTCATGAAGTCTTTCCAAGCTGCTTTCTTCTCCTTAACAGCTCTCTTTACATCCTCTGTCCACCAAGCAGTTTGCTTGAAATTTGACCCAATGCTCTTCTGACCACAGACGAGTCTCGCAACATCAAGAATGATATTTCTAAATGCTGTCCAGCTCTCCTAAATATCATCGCTATCCCATGATTGGTAGATATCTCGTGACATCCTTTCCACTTTCATCCATTTCATCCTCCTTCAGCCTGTAAGATTTAATCGTTGTATTCTTACTATCTACACATCTGTTCCTCATTTTACTGTTATTCCAAACTTTATCGAGCATTAACAGGCAGTGGTCACTGCCTATTTTGAAGCCCCTCTTCACTCTGGCATCTTGTACATTTCTGAACTCTTCCCTCTTAACCAGTATACAATCAATGATCGACCTTTCGTTACTGCTGTGTTATTAGTTTTACTAGGATATTATCAGGATCATAATCATTAGTGTGGGATTTTCGGATAGTGGAAAGTAATTCATCGTAGGTCACATAGGAGAAAAAGAAGTATTCAGGATTGAAATTGTGGTGTTTAATATCGAAAGTAGGAGAATTGTGAATGAAGGATAGGAAATGGTCATAAAGATCATCTGGAGTCACCGGGATATAACTGAGTTCATTGGATTCTGGTAGGGATAGGTTACGGAATATTTTCCAATTGGATTTGGAATCAGGTCTTCACTGGTAGGTCATATGTAATTTGGATCAGGTCGTGTGATGAAAGAAATGAAACGGGATGTTGAGAAGAGGAGAGGATTTTGATGTGTGAGGCAGAGATGTAGAGGTCTAACCAGATGTCGGAAAATTGCATGTGATGGGTAGAAGAATAAGGAACAAGATAAAAGTTAAGGGAAAACAGTAGGTCGGTTAGGAAGTATTTTTCAAGAGATTGTGAAAGCAGATTCACATTGAAATCCCCAGTGATAATAATAATGTTGTAAAGGGAGACCAGGTTGACAAGGGAGGATTCAAAGAAGTTATCAAATGGAACACGAGGAGGGCGGTAAACTATGGCAAATGATAGAGGAGAGGTAATAGAGTAAATTTCTACGAAAATGTATTCCATGTGAGGAAAGTCATGAGAAGGAGACTGCAGGAGGATTTTGGCCTTAAGACTGTCGTGAACATACAATCCGACACCACCTCCCGTGTGATCAGATCTGTCATGGCGCAGGAAAGAATAATTGGGTACATATACATATATATGTAAAGAAGCTTCAGGTTCTAACGAATCCCCACCTCTGGGTTAATTATTTAATTCATGCATTTAATACATGATGTCAGATCGGGATAACCGTGTGGTACGGTTTGCAATTGTTTCAAATTATTAAGTGTTTAGTGTTGTGTTTCATTGAACTTAAAAACAATAAAAACTGATTTATAATCTTGTTTAGTGTTAACTGTAGATAAACTATAGATTGCTTTTGCTTCTACAAAAGAAGATCTTTATCAATTACAATTTCAAATTAAATAATACATTAAATCTTAAAACTATACCTACCTACAAAACAAAATCACTAAACATATATATGCCTAGAGATTTGAAAGTATATCAGTATATTCAACCTATAAATTATTATGAATTGTAGGACTATTAGTTATTAAACTGACATTTTTAATTTTAAAGTTTACTAAAACGAAATTACGAGATTTTCATTGTCTGCCATGGAAAGTGTTAGCTCCCTCTTAGTTTATGTCAAACTTCGAATGAAGCCTAACTATTTAATTGTGATTTAATAAAAGAAAAAAAAAGAATGAAAGTGGACTGTATCTTCAAACATTTATTTTGGAACATTTACGAAATCTAATATTGAAAACATAAAAACAAAATGAATCAATTTTACACTTGTTAGATAGGTAAAAAAAAAAATGAAAAAATAACGAACTTCTAGCATAAAATAAAGACCAGCTGAACAAACAATTGTGACTATATTAATGAAATATTTTCACGCTTGATCATAAAAGAAAAAACTATTTCTATGGCCCAAATTACAATAAAAAAAACAACTTCTCTAGAGTCCCAATATGAAATTTATATATATATATATATATATATATATATATATATATATATATATATATATGCAACAAATAATTAGATTGTACAACGTTACGTGGATGAAGCAGGGCGTTCGTAAGTCTCTGTCTCTATGCAGAAACCAATTGTAACTCTTCAATGAGCGTGCTCAAAACGAACTGCAAATGAGCAGCGGTGAGCAAGACAAGAGAAGTACGTCTCTTCACAGTAGAACTGCAGTGGGCAGTGTAGTTGGCAGTACTCAGCTCAGTGAGGGCAGAGTCAGACTGTCTATCGTCAATTCTACCGCCTTATGACTAGAACCTAGCACTTGTTTATAGCTAGTGCTACAATCCATAACAAAGTAGTCCAAGTATAAACTATTGATCTATTTAATATAAACAATATATGCTATGGACCTACAATACTTAATATACACATATCTTATACATAAATATACATTAATTGATTTCACTTTGCTAAAATAAAACGAATCAACAATTAATCAAACTAGTTAAGTGTAAAATAAATTGAATTAACGCTGTGGCGTTTTTAACTGTAAAAATAAAATAAATTAACGCTGTGGCGTTTTTAACTGTAAAAATAAAATAAATTAACGCTGTGACGTGTAAGTGGATCATGTGTAATTGGATAATGTTGGTATTTCACAAAGGGAAAATTCATCAAACTATTCAGTAATTTAATTTTCTAAAAGGTGACTTGACGGTTTTCCGGAATAAAAGACCGTTAAACCTAATTATTTAAATATATAATATCAGATCTCTGATTATTAAATTACAATAAATGTATAAAAAGTTATAAACATATGCTTTATACATTCATGAAATAGTTTTTTAAACATTTTCATTGCCTAGATTAGGTGGATTTTAAATACTTTTTCAAAATTGAAAAAAAATTAAATTAACATTTAGTTAGTAAATTTCATTTAATTTACTTGAAAACATGTTATTTTTTATCGCAGTACTAAGTTATCAAAATACTTTTTAAATAATATTAGTTTTCACAAATTCTTATTTATAACTTTTTGTCACTCTCCATTCTCTTCTATGACATTCTATATTAGATATTGTTTTTTCTAAAATTCTTCGCTTTTCAGCAATATATTTCTTTCTACTTTCAGAGTATTGGCAGAAGTTTCAGGGTCCACAAAATTGTATTGTTGGCATAAAATTCTAATTTTACCACTGTGATTTTAAAAAAAAAATAGTTTTTTTGCTTTTTGGAGCAATAACAGAAAAGTATTGATATTGAAAATGGAATAATAAAATATGATGGACACAGCATAGTAGTGTGATCGTGGACTCATCAAATTAGTATGACATTTGTACAGTGGTACCAACAAATATTCTAAATAAGCAGCTTCTGCTCACCTTACCACGGGCGGATCTATGGGGGGAGGAGGGGGGCGGCTTTCGTGCTGAAGCCTCCCCCCCAAAATGGAAAAATACAACCATGTTTTATGGGAAAAAAATTAAAAAAATACCTCTTACAGTATTATTGTTCGTGTAATTTTATTTAAAAGTAGTTAAGGAATAACTTAAACACCATTTCATATAGGTAGTTAGTTTCTTTCTGTATTTCCAAAGTAATTATCGTTATTTTTATGAAAAAAAAATTTTTTCGGCCTGAAGCCCTCCCCCCAAAATTAAATCCTGGATCCGCTAGTGTACCTTACAATACATAACTATCCTTAATAATGACCATACTTAAAATCGATAAATATTTCAATATGAAGTTAAACAACTCTTGACTATTGCTAAAATATAGATCATAACAAATTATTTGCTCTAATACTTCTCTTACATTGATACATTTGACATCTAAGAACCAATTCTTAAACTGGGAAGAATCACGTCTAACAGCATGGGAAAAAGTTTGACACTTTTTATACTCTGGAAATCCAACTGTACACCATTTTAATTCTTTATTTTTATTATCAGGTACATAGTTGTAATTATTATACACCTGTCCTAAAAAGATGAAACAAAACTAGGATCAAAATTAGCAATAATATAAAATAACCTGATCAAATAAATACAAAATACTATACCAATACACAGGTAAACATTAAAAACCAGAAACAGGAACCATATTTTCAGATGCATGATAACAAATCAAAAGTATGTATGTAAACAACCAGGCACGCCCAATACTCATAAGAACTGCAGCAGGAGAAAACGAGTCATTCAAAGCCAAGCATCTATTCTAATTTGTCAACGATCTACTATACCTTATATATATTTAAGTATGCCTTCCTACCTACCTTATACCTTCCTAGATTAAAATGGATTCAAAAACAGAATGAACACCAGTAGTCTTAAAAAAATGTCACCTATTTAAGGATTAAATAAACTTCTTAGCATTTTTTAAGAATTCTACAGACAAAGTTGTATAATATAAAAATAAATTATAATAATAGATTTAAAGGCTAACAATATTTATTTGACTTCAGTTATATAATTATTGCTTCTAAATTACCGAAAATAGGAAAACTTTATATTGGTGCGGGAGGTTAAGATAATATTTGGGCTGAGAATCGAAAATTTCCACTCCTGTTTCCGAGATAAGGGGTCAAATTTGGTTCGGTGTCTATCTGTAGTAAAAACGATGCGAAGGGTTTGTCATCTACAACTGTTTATCCAATTTCCATGATATTTTCAGGGGTTGTAGTAGAGATGAGCTGGTAAATCGCGAATAGAATCAATGAGTCAACTCTTCTGAAAGAATCGTACTCTTAAGTAGTTCACACAAAAGAATTATGATTCAATCCGAATCGTTCGATTCATTATAGGTATTATTAAAAATAAAAGTACGAGAGAAAATACAAGAGAGAAAAATCAATTCTATAGTACATATAAATAAACTAAACAGAGAGAGAAAGTAAATAGATAAACAAAATAGCGATATAAACAAGCATTGGTTATAAATATCTGAAGTGTAAAATGCTAAATTAAATATTTACATAATAATAGATAATTAAAAATAAAAGTAAAAGAAAGAGAAAAATACTGTACACATATATAAATAAAACAAAAAAAACATTAACAAAATATTAATATAAATAAGGGTATGTTATAAATGTCTGAAGTGCGATATACTCGTATAATGAGATTCCGAAAGTAAACAAAACAACTCTGAAAACAAAACAATAAGACTGGAAGATTTTCTAGAATTAACGTGTTCAACCGGAATCAGCCGATTCATTGGTTCAGTCGCTTCACCGATTCAGTAGGAATCGGTTGATTCCTCGATTTACCGGTTTTGTCCTATTATACTAAAGGGATTCGTCCCAGAATAAATAAAAAGATTATTATTAAGTCTCGATAGCTATATAAACTGTATTGCATCCAATTCCTTATAAAGGAGCCTGAGTTCATTGTTGGAACGGCGTCTCCACTCTCCATTTACTATAACTGTACCGTGTATCCTCTTGTGTATATTCTCTCAGAAGAGAGAATTCGAATGCTTGGATAAGAGTCCAGATTTCTGAATTATATGTGAGAACTGGCCGAATGAGAATCTTGTACAACCTGACTTTCGAATATTTGGAGAGGAGATAATCACTCATATCCTTTTGTAGGGCAAAATAACAGCAATTAGCTGCCATAATCCGCTTTTCGACTTTTGTTCCAATATCATTTTGTTGTTGATCAGGGACCCTAGGTACACAAACTCTTCAACTCTCTCCACACTCTGCCCATCAATTTGGATACGGTTCTCAACGTTCATCGGTTAAAGGTTTATGCACATATACTTTTGTTATAGTAGACAATCAGTACCATCCTCGCACAATAATAATTACGGCGGCACATGCTAAAAAAAGGCAAAAATTTCCTTAGCTATGTCCATCAATGGTGCGCTTAACCTATGTTTTTTAATACAGAAAAAAAAAATAAACATTAAACTTAACTTTAACAGTTTAAGTGATTTTTGAAGTCTTGTTAAAAATAAATAAAATAACAGTAGCATCAGGGACAACATTTTAGAAATTAATTTTAATGTATTTTTCTTGACACTTGCTTACATTTAGCAGCTGAATATTCAAAATAATTCAAAAACTATAAATATTGAAAGAATGAATGACAATAATTTTATTATTCTGGGACTGGTGTCCCTTTAGAACAAGTTACAATTACAGAATATATATTAATATTCTAGTGTGTTTATAAAATACAATTAAATATTTACAGGGTGATTAGGAATACAATAAAATTATAGATAATAAAAACGTGTATACATATAAAATAAACAGAGAAAGTAAATTAAGTAAACAAAATATCAAAGAATCAAAAAATAATCAAAGTATCTGAATGTGCTTTGAGATTTTTACAGTTTAGGTTTTTAAGTGCATTCCGTGATCAATCGGATTGGGAATGGAGTAGGTGTTTGAAGAGGAGTGATTTGAAAGAGGTTATTGAGTTTGCGTGTCGAATATCTGAGGGTATAGAGTTCCAGAGGGAGACAACTTGAATTAAAAAGGATTTATCAAACGCAGCAGTTCGGTGAGGAGGAGGATAGAGGCCGGACGCAGGGGATCTGGTGGGACGGGATTGAAAGGAGCGTTTGAATTGTAGGATCGGTAGAATACAGGCGGGTCGCAGTTTTCTAATGACTTGATATAGAAACGTAGCAGGAAATATTGACGGCGACAGGACGGATAAAGCCACTTCAACTCGGTGTAAAACTTGGTAATATGCGTATGCCTTGATATGAGATCTCGAAGATAAAGCGCATTGAGCAATTCATTAGACGTTGAAGTTTAGCTTCGAGTTCTCCCGAGAGTCCAACATACACAATGCATTTATAGTCGAAGTGGGGGAAAACAAGAGAGGAGACCAGGAGTTGACAGGTTTTGAACGGAAGAAGATAACGTAGATGGTTTAACTGTTTCAGGGCGGATATAGTACGGCGGGAAATAAGGGAGACGTGCGATTTCCAGGAGAGGATTTGATCGAGGGTAACACCAAGGTTTTTAACGGCGGTATGGAAGGAGATAGGTGAGTTGTTCAGAAGAAGATTAGGAGGTGCTGAAATGGATTGAGGAGTGAGGGGGATCCGATCAGGATGGCTTTTGTCTTCTCAGTGTTTAGCTCAGATTACTCATAGAAACGAATATGAAACCTTGATAAAAAATTATTTTTCTATTTTTGGAAGGAGGGGAGGCTTAGCCGGACAGTCTCCCTCAGGATCCTCCAGTGATGTTTCGTGTAGTATAGCACATGCGGATCTACGGGGGGGAGGGGTTCGAACTGAAGCTTCCCCTCCCCAAATGGTAAAATGTAACCATGTTTTATGAAAAAAAAACATTAAAAAATTATTTCTAAGTACTATTTTTCCTTTAATTACATTTTATAGGACTTCAGGAATCACTTAATTACAATTTCATATAGGCAGTGAGTATCTTTCTTTTTTTTTTTCAATGTAATTATTGTTATATATATGAAAAAAAAAATCTTTCGGGCTGAAGCACCCCCCAAAATTAAATTCTGGATCCGCTAGTGTAGTAGATGTATAGTTATGATAAATTAAAAAATATGTTGTTTTCCATTCATTATTAACCAGATGAACATAAATATAATAGCCGACATTCCCGAAAACAAATCAAGTAATTAAAAAAATATATGTATGCACTTCCATATTCTATTATTAGGCTCGTTAATAAATTTATATTCTTTAGTTTGTAAATTTGTATTCTTTAGTTAAAGTTTGCTGATTCAATTAATTTAAAACATCGACAAAGAAACAATTTATTAAAACAAATAACAAATTATGACCTGATTGAAGAAAAGTTTCATTAATTTTTTTTAAATGAAATTATCATTAAAGTAAAAACAAAATCTGTTGTAGTGCCTCCTAGGGAATCCAATGATTTAGTATAGATGGATTTTCCGAAACTTGATAACCCAAATAAATTATCACCCCTCTTTTTTATATAAAACAACTACACATATGGTTCGTTTGGATTTTTATACCCTATTAAAAAAAAAGATACTAAAAATTGTTCACATTATAATTTTGGTAATTACATTATTACCAATTCACATTATAATTTTGGTAATTTTCGCGTTTAAGAATAACGAAAAATACTATTACATTATACTACTGTCAATATTAAAAATAATTCTAACAAGCAACACTGTGTAAATTAAATTTCCCGCCACATTTTAACCATTTGATATGAATTTTCTGGAAACTGACATGTTCAGTCCAGTATCTATTTTGTGTTCAGGAATTTGAATGGTCCAAGTTGGTTAACATTTTTGCTTTAGCTCGTTTTTCTTGGATTATTTGTCCAATTCTCCTTAAAACGGTTTTTTTATGATTGGAATCTACACATTCTTGGCTGAATTCAACATTTCTTGTAAGGTTTTACTTGATTGTATTATTTTATGACTCTGGCCATAATAATTATGTGTTTAAGCTTAGTTTCTTTTTATTTTATTGTGAATCAATCTTTATAAAGTCCACTAACGTTTAGAGACATGTATCCAACAGAATTTAATTCAAAAACATTGTATGTGTGTATTTTTAAGAAATTGTTTGTTTAAATTGTGTGTATCTATAATAAATTCTTTTAAAATTAAATTGTTTTGATGGAAAATCTAAATCATGTTGAATTTTTACCATCTTTCTAATAAAACTTTTGACATCAATCATCTACAGAAGACAAAGTTCCCGTTATTTAGTTCTCTACAGATGTTGCTCTACATCAGGAGTATCGAAACTCTTTGGGCCACATTGAGACGTCCATTAAGATCATTGTGGCCTGAACTAAGTCTTGCGGAGCCATTGCTTTTAATGAAAAAAAAATCTTGTTCTATAAATGACACTTTAGTTCTTATAAAAGCTTTCTAAGAGAAACAACTCAGGCATTAAATGTTGCAGTAATCGTCTGTTTGAGTGATGTACTAAATTTCATATTTTTTAAAAGTTTACCATATAATTTAAGAAACTTTCACAGGCCTGATTGGAGGTGTTTGTCCGGATCTGGCCCGCAGGCTGTAGTTTGGAGATCCCTGCTCTAGATTGATGAGTGGGCAAAGATCTTAATGAAGCTCTAAATGAAATACTGAAAATGGTGGAGTATTGAGATGTACACAGTAAAAATATCCCTCTCTTTAGATAGGGATTTACTATTTTCACAAACTACCAACTGTTGCTTTTGAGTCAAAATTGGAGTTCATAATTAACAACATTTATAGTAGCTGCAATTGTAACGCTCTTTGATCTTCGCTTACTCCAAAGAGGTGGATTAACTCCTAATTGGTCCTTTTTCAGTTGGGGTTAGAGCCTTAGCAGATGGTTCATCATCTCCCTCTACTTTTGGACACACTCAGCCATTCTCAGAATTCTATGTATAGTGTTGTCATGAGTTCCTGTGCTAGCCACCAAAGTGAAGCAACATTTGTAAAGTAGTACCTTAAAATTAAGTTCTAGAACTCCTTTGAAAAATATATTAGAATTTCTTTTTTCAGGAAATTATATGACTTATTCTAATATAAATAAATGCAGATATTGACTTACACAACCATATTCTAGGTTTACAGGTTAATTTCCACTACTTGTAAAGTATTACCTTAAAATTAAATTCTTGCTCTCCTATGAGAAAGAAATTTAAATTTCTTTGTTCATAAAATTATATGATCTATTAGGCAATCTATTAATTTATAAATAATCCAGAGATTGACTTATACAGCCATATTCTATGTTTACAGATTAATTTTTACAATAACTTATCTCCAACTGATACTTTTACCATTGATAATGTCTGAAGTTTCTATGAACTAAGAAGTCATTTTTGAAAGTGTTGAAGATTTAATATTTGTCATTATGAAAATCAGGCCTGTTAATCAGCAAATCTGATTCTTATTGAACTTATACATCACTTTTTTTTATTAATTGTTATGACTAACTTTTTTGTTTTATTGGCATGTTTTAGATAATAAATTTCCACAATGCGATGTAGCAGGAGAGAATCGCATATTCTACAACCTGCAATGTTCACTAGCACTCCTATTTCAAAATGCCGAAAAGTATCAGCCTTCAATTTTTTTGAAAATTCACCAATAAACAGATCAAATCCTGATCTACTGGCTGTTCCAAAGCAGTAAGTATATGTAATTAATTGATTACTGTATTGCTTCGGGTTATCATCAAAAGATCAAAAATAAGTTGAGGAGTTGAGTCTTAAGCACAGCACCAATGTGCGATACAAGTCAGTCTGGTTGGGTGGAACCATGCAATATCCCTAGGTTAGGAGCTATGGGGAGCACTGCCATTTATATGTTTCATTAAATTTATCTTAACTACTATCCTTTTAGCTATAGTCAGTTGTTAACCATCAATATCTTATTTGCTTGCTAAACTCACAATTTCTGTTGTATTCGAGATTCTAGAGAATCTCTCTGCCAATAGTTCTTTTTAAAATTGGTCAGGGCTGTCATTCCGATTTGGCTCCCTACTTAAGTTGGGATATTTAGGATCAATGTTGATTAAAGGAGCTTTGATATTTGTGTATAACCTTGTTTGTTATATATATTATTACTTTAAAATTGTCATCTGGGTACAATTCACAGGATAACATTATAGATCCCATTCTGAAAGTGGCCGAATGTATCCGGAGCTAGACATAGGTGACCAACCCCTCTCCTTGGTAATACCGCACCCTCAACTGAGAAGGGCCTGTGGGGAGTTTATTTATCTCATTTTAGTCAATGGAACTCATGATGTAATGAAGTGAAGCTGGTACCTTTATATGTGGTTATCAATATTCAGCCATTTTTGTTATTCCATTTATTTATAATAGGTCACAAGTTTTTGTGCATAAACAAAGTTTATTTAAGTTTCAATTAAGAAATTGTCACATTAAAGATTAGCTTATTATTGTAAATTATTTTAACAAAGGGGTCCCCAACCTTGTGCATGCAAGCACCATTGTGCCCATATAATCCCACCTGTCCTCGCTAAATCAGCCTATGCAGTGCTGCTATTCAATACATTTTTTAAAATGAAGTATTTCATAATTACTAGTAATATAATAAATGTATTTAATTAGAAATTTAATTGTGTTTCTTTGTTGTTTCAATTTATTATAATACATATGATCATATTCTCCAAATTATGAAACATTTTAAATCTAGGTAAAACTTGAGCGCAACTATTTTTTTTTAAGAGAAATAAAGTTGAGATTTTTATTTTGGATCTCAAAAAATACAAATTTTCATGCCAACCGAAAATTGAAATGTTGTGCTCTATACGTTGGTCAAGGGTGGAGGCTTGGATTTTTTTTCGAAAGTCACCTTTATTGTGACAATATGATTTCACCTAACCACTAAAAAATCTAAAGAAATTGCCTTTAAACTATACCGAATGGCACAAACAAGATTTAAATATAAATGCTTATTTAAGAGTTTTAAAGGATGCAAGAATTGAATCTGAATTACTTTTTCATGCCAAAAAATGTACATGTCCTACTTTACTGGAAGTGTGTTAAAGGTTTTTGTAATTTATTGTACATCTTAATTCATTTAATTAATTGTACATCAGTAGTATTTCTTTCTTGTTTTACATATAAGGAAATAAATAGATAATAATAATCAACTCATAGTTCTCTACAATTTTTATTACTATAAGTTACCAACTTCTTCATGGTATTTAGAAAGCTTGGAAGATGGTCTCAATTTACAGAACCCGTGAGAATCATTTTTTGTCTTTGGCCTTATTTTAACTAGTTATGGCCAGAGACCATATAGTCCAGTCAATGAGTGCTAAAAAAGGGAGTATAGAAGGAAATGGAAGGGACAATTTTTGATTTTGGGGCTTTGTTCGGACTAGTTAGGAGGTGAACATACCTAAAAGTCCCCATTCCTCAGAGGTGAGCGTGATGTGGGAGACACACCCAGAAAATTACTTTTTTCGGTTTTACGTTTATATCAGAGGAACTATCCATCGTCGCGATAAAGATGTTCTATAAAAAATGAAAGCTGATAAAAATTTTAACAATAGTGATGGTATTCATTTTTACGCTATCTCATATAGTTTACAAAATATCCGTGTTCAATAATTGCTAGTTTTAAAAAAACAAATTTTTGCCTCATGTTTTACTGTCCAATTCTTTCCTTATTTATTCTAAGAAAACGGCTAGAGGAAGAAAGTTGTTGAGCATTAAATTTTCTTTAGGAACATACATAATTTTAGTATGTTATCTTCAACCTTTCAAAAGTTAGAGAAATTATAATTTAATGTGTAAATTTTAAGATTTTACACAACAAAACCTTACTTTTGTATTTTTCGTATTAAACTGCTCTAAATCATTATATAAGCTGGTATTTACGTATTTATATATAAATATTATGTATTGTATTTATAAGTACCACTTAAATATGTAATATGTGTTGTATACTATATTTTGAGGTACATTTCTATTTCACTAAAAGTAATATTGTTTGGTATTGCTAAAAACTATTCTCGATCCTGAGAGTTTAATAAAACTACTTTGACAGACCAGTTCTTACCCATATAGAAATAAAATGAAGATATCATCATTATATAAATAGGCAAACACAAAACGGTTCAGCCCCTTTTTCTCCTCTATTATTCAACCGATTTTCTTCCTTCTTTTGTTGTTTAATAGCTATTGGCGAGCTTTAGTGTTATCGATAAATAAAAATATGAAATAGTGTATGTAAATAAAAATATAAATGGTAGTTTGTTGGAAATAGCTAATCTCCAAAAGTTCTTCGCCGATTTCTGGGAAATTTTGACACAACATTGCAATAAGATTTAGGAGTGTTTTTGTATATGTTTCATTATCAGCAGGCCTTTCTTTTCAAAATAGTGGCAGAAAAAATGTGATTCGCTTTAGACTGTAGCGCCAAAACGGCTACAACAATTTTAATGAAACTTGGCTGAAGTCTTCCCCTTGAAACCTTTATAATTTATATATATAACATGCTTTTCCGAAAACAAGCTGCATACATTTTTATGACGAATTCAATATTTTATTTGCGAATAACTCCAAAAGTACACATTTTTTCATTGATAATACCAATATTTATTTGAAAGCTTCCTGGATTCCAAAATAAAAAAATTCCTGGACAAAATAAAAATTAAAAAATCATCGAAATCGGACTGTTTGTTGCAGATATATATCATTTTAAACATGTAGTACTTTTTCTTTTGCAAAGACGATTTCCATTAATTTAGTTTTTGATGAATCGAAAACTTTATATTTACTGAAGTAATCAGGAATATTATTTGAAGAGATGGTATCATTGAATGTTACCTCATAAATTAAATTTAAATGTAAATTATATAGTTGTGCTCATTCTTAACTTAAATACTGCACAAGCATTAGTTAATGGAACATGAATGAGAGTGAAGTACTAATGGGAGCTACTTTATATAAAATAATTTTAATTACAAGAATTAATTTAACATTTTCTGAGACAATACTTCTTTTCTAATTTCATAGAACAATGTTCTTATTAATAGCTGCATTTGCTATGACCATATTCAAATCGCATGGTCAAAGTTGTGGAAAAATTTGTCTATTATTGCGACAGCCAGTAATTTCACATGGACAATTATATGTGGCAGCAAGTAAAGCACATACATTTAAAATTTTTTAATTTATGTTGCCAATGGAAATGGGCAAGGCTATGTATTGAACAATGACAATAACATTTAAAAAGAACATTGTTTACTGAGAAGTTCTACATAAAAATTGATTTAAACTAAATTGAAATTGCTAATTTAAATTTATTATTTACTTGCTTAATTATAACATTAATTTATTGTGATAATAACGCACATATATTAAAATGGAAATTAATTATTTTTGAATGAGTCTATTTTGTATTACTTATAAATAATTTTAAGTGGTTTAAGCTTGATTTTCAATTGAAATTGAATTTTTTTTTTATCAATAAATCAGGATTTTTGAATCGTGATTTACTCTTTATTTATGAAATTTATCAATTTTTTTAAACGGCCTTTCGTACTATATCTAACAAAACTTAGAATTCATTAAAAACATTCTTTATATTAGTAATGTCACAGTACAGACCAAGCTTAAACTTTTAATATACTTGAATTATTTTGTCTCCTGGTTATTTCTACCAGTCATATATCAACTTCTAGTAAGATAATTGTCAGGTACATATCTGTTTTGTTTTATATTTTAAAAAAAAGTAATATCATTTAGTTTCCTGTTGTGAAGAAGAAGACACTACTACTAAATATTAATAAAAATGTAAATTGCCAAAAGTTCTTTATTTGGTCTTTTCTCCCTTTATATTAATACTATGATCTCAAATCACTTTAGTTATCATATCTGTTTTTTTTTTGTCTCTGGAGCATAGCTGGAGAGGTTTTTCCTCTCAGATCTTTCAATACGTTTTTCTAGGGTGCTGGTTAGTGGTCAAGTCTCACAGTCAAGTCAGAAATGGTTTTATTATAGCTTTGTAGACCCTTGATTTGATATTTTTATGGATTTCAGTACCAGTACCAAGAGAAAGGAAAACTATGTGCACATTTTAATTGGTGGTATATTTGACCTTGAATGGTTTTGGTTGGTCATTCATTTAGGTTATTGTGGAATTGAGTTATTGGAATCTTTCCACTCTTGGAAATGATTTCCCTTTTACACAAATCCTATTGTAGGGATTGAATTTTGTTTTATCTTCATTTATTTATAGGCCGATTTTCTCTGCATCTCTTGTCATAGTGTTAATGCTCTTTTGAATGTTTCCATAGCTACGTATGTCATTTACATATCCAAGCATTTTATGATTCATTTTAACGTGCACCTCTCCATTTTCGCCTGATTTTCCTATCTTATGAATAGCTTCATAAGATTTGTAATTGGGACCCCGAGACGTTCCCGTGTCTTCCACCACTATACTGAGTTAGGGGCCTCTTCCCCTCCTTGAGAAGACAATATTTCCTAGGCACATCCCTTTATCAAATCATTACCGATAATCGTCTTTCTTATGCCTACAACCTTCTCCAATTTAAGTCCTCAATCCATTCCCGCACTACAAGATCTTGACCCTCTGACCTATACATCCCTTCTCATAGATCTGCCTCATTCCAAAACTCCTTTAT